GTCGCGCACATTGACACCTTGTGAATGTTGCACCTATGCTGCTGGTTGTTGCCACTTTCGTCATTGCTAGATCCTAGGCTTTCAGTACATTTCACTTTCTGATATGCTACAGCCAGGCTATGGTGGGCCATAATGGAGACCTAGCCTTTTTGTACTAGACTGCAGAAAGAGTTGAGTAGATACTAAGTATACGTATATGCTTATGGGTATTTGATTGCGAGAGATTTTTTTCTGAGAGGGAAGGCGCGAGTGCCTTCAAAGGTCTCGGTTAAGGCCCGCGTCCCTAGTTTGGCCAGGACTAGGGACACCTAACGAGAAACCGAAGGTTGTCTAGGACCAGGGAGAGGATGATTGGGAAGGTTTTTGGAACTTATGCTGTCAGTGTCCTAATGTCTGGGCGGTGAGAGGCCCGAGTTAGAAACCAAGCAGCATATAGTTGTGGAGGATTGGTTTGATGGAGGCCTCTACCCTGTGTTTGTCGGCTAATCGGATTGGCTCCTCCTTTCGTCAGCATTTGGGGTGTGGATGAAGCTTTCTGATTTGGCGAAGCGACGGGGATGTCGCTTAATATGGTCCGGTAAGTTGTCGGCGCGAATACCCTTACAAGGGTATCCGCCCTGGTTTTTGCGAGCAACAGAAAATAGGTTTGGTTTAAAGTTTAAGTGTACCACGCTGGTCGCGGCCGCGTCTGTGACTTACGTTGACTGGATGGTTGACTAGGATAAAGAGTGTGTGTGGGCGCGCGGATTTTTTGAGGCGCGCGTTATCTTTTTATTTGTTGATGGCTGAAGAGTCGGCGTGATCGCCGGCCAAATTATTTTTCCGACTGAGTAGGGATGAAAAAGAGTAGGTCTCGCTGACTAATGTGTTCGCCTGTGACCTGCGTGTGCGTACGGAGGACGACCTCGACGGCGGCGACGACGGCGACAGTGTGAATGCGGTAGGTCTTGGCACGCGGGGAGGCGCGAGTGGCAGCCGTGGTACAGCTTGGTAAGACGGCGCGGACGCTGGGCGGCCGCGCGCACGGTTGTAGGCAGGGAGGAGGCTCAGGCCAATTTCCCTGACCCCGAGCGCGGCACCGCACCGCCCCATATGGTACTCCGCGGATGTGGGCCTCAGGCTTGGGCTTAGCCCTATAGGTTACGGTACTAAGTTGATGATACGGAGGTTCTGGGATCGAGGCCGGCGGGCGTCGGCACAGCAGCAGCGGAGCAGCGTGGAGGAAACCGAGGGGTTGAGGGCCCGACGGGGCTATCCCCCCCTGGTTTTATCTGGCGGGCGCGGCGATGGGTCTGATCTGCGGGGCTGGCGAGGTGCCGGCAGCTCCCTCTTTCCCCCCGTTAGTGGGTTGTTTTTCTTTTTTTTGTATACCTTTTTATTGTTATTTTTGTTTTTATTTTTACGTCTTTCCGCGTCCCGTACTGGGACGCGATACGTGGTTGTAGCTAGGACCCATGGGCATAGCGCAGTTGGTACGCCCATGAACTGTCGGAATACCAGCCGCGCCCGATACCGGATGGACGGGACCCGGTACTTTGAATTGCCTRGTTCTGCTCAGGCTTCGGTCAGGCCGAGGGTGCCACCTCGAGGCTGCCGTGAGGCCTGAGTCCTTCGGGACATCCGTTAAGGCTGGAACGATATTGAGGTGGTACGTTGGCCACTGCATAGGGGTGGCGCGCGCAGATCTGGGAATGAACCCAGACACAGGTCAAGCCTGATACGGGCTAAGGGAAAAGTTGAGGCCGTTTGGCCTTTGGGGGAGCCACGGGGCATTGCCCCGGTCAAGTCCTTCGGGACATCCGTTAGTACTGGAGTAATGCAGGGAAGATTGGCGCGGCCCCTGTAAACTGAGAGTATGTATAAATCGAGGGGGCGGGGCCGCAACTGAGGGTTGTTGGAATGTCGGATGCCGTGGGAYGGCRTGGTGTGACCGGAGTCCGGTGTTAGTAGACGACAGGGAAGAGGGGCGATAGCGGAGCCGTGGAGACCGGGGATGGACTTGGACGCGACGCTGGGCCGGGTGCGTGCGGAATAGGAGAGCGCAGAGTAACGGACGATAGTGCAGTGAGCCAACAGCCAGAGAGCACAGCGCAGTGACGGGAGCAGCATCAGGTAGGGCGAGGCGATGGCAGAATGAATGAACCTGGGCGGGGGGTAGCGCCGGGTGCACGCGGAGAGGAATGGGCTATGGCAGTGCTGGCTGGAGAGGGAGCAAGAAMGGATATYTCCCTCGATCCTTGACCAAATYGAGGGAGGGAAGAAGTGTTTTGGAGGTTTGGGAATCGGACGAACTCRAAATTGAGTTTAGTYTTAGTAGTAAATTAGTAAGTTAGGAGATTAGTGAGAAGAGTCGTGYGSGGAGATGGTCGGARATGAAGAAGAAGGAAGCTTGAAAGTACCTATCTCACCCGTTTCTTAGTGGAAACGGGTGATTGAAGGTATGTTTCGSGGGTTTCTTGAGGCTGCGAGTGTAATGGTAGCATTAGTTTCAGGGATGAGTTAGTGGAATAGGAGWTTGGGGAGAAAGGCACCGCGCGCGGCTATGGAGGAAGTGAAAACGAAAGGGGAAAAACGTCGAGCTCGTCCGTTTCTAGATGAAAACGGGCGASRAAGGGAGCGATTCGGGGGTTTTCRAGGGCRGCGACCCTGACTATGGGGTTAGATCTAGACRAGAGTTAGTAAAAAGATAGTTAGTCGGAAGGTAGGCTGCGCGTAGGGGGGGGRGAATGTGAATATGACAGTGAATACTTCCGCATTTTTGCGGAAGATTCATTCGAATTTTCCAGTTGCCCTTGTGGGGGATGCTGTAGGCAGATGGCGGAGATGGAGGCTTGWCTGCTACCCGGTGCTTCGCCCCACCTACCGACGGGAGACTCTCTCCCTTATCCTCGTGCCTATGTACGATGATCCATGCTCCCGGTTATGTTTTAGCGAGAGATTCGTCCCACCTGGCTCGTAATACCACCGGTGACAGTGGGAAGCCGACCGCGGGGTTGAAGGCTACCGGCGGGACTGGGGTGAGGCTCACAGCAACGGAGGAGTAGCGGGAGGGGTGTTTGGCTTGACAACCGACGAACGCAGTCTCCTTCGACGGAAGTAGTGGTCGCCCGCTCGTTTCCGTGGCACTCCGTCGTACCGAGGCCCGAGGTTGGGCTCGTGGCAAAAACTGTCGGTTTCTGCAGTGTCGGGCTACTCGCTCGGTGAGCGTCGGCAAAGTGGTCGCTGCAGTGGGGCTATGCTGTTCGCCGGGTATGTGTGTGAGAGAGAAAGAGAGAGATGGTTTACCTGGCAAATAGCTGGTGCGGGCCAAGCCGAAATAYGGGTTGTAGCGCCAATCGGTAGAGCGCAGCGGCAGTGCCAGRGTGCGTGCAAATTCGAGACGGGCGKGTGGATACCGGCGGAGGTGACTCAAATAAAGCAAGAAARGGGGGAAGAATAGATACTTACGGCTGGGCCTGCTATGGCGACGCTGGTGCGGACTGACTGCGGCACACGGACTGGYGTTATTGTTGTGAGCCGCGRCAGGACTKTGTCGTTGWCTRTGCGCCATGGCTATTGCTGCGTAGTGTGGTGGACTGTTGCTGTGCCTGTAGATGGCGCTGCGTTTTTGYTSCTAGCTGTTGCCGGCCGCACGAACTGCGAATGAGATTGTTGACTGGGCACARCCAGCTGTTGYTGYCGGTTCGCTRYGCATGGAYTGTCGCAGGTTGCTGGCGGTTGTGCACTGAACGCAGCYGCGAACTKCGCACAAAACTGTTACTACCACTTGCTAATGATCGCYGCATGTTGCGGCACGCTATCGCCGACTATTACCAATCACTACCGRCCTCTATGCGGTGCGATTGGGYTGAGKAGAGGTGTTRCAACTTGAGAAGGTGGGAGATTGGGATTAAGAAGGGAGGTTGATGTTGTGATTTGGGAGCTYACTAGGGGATTAAGTTCGRCAGTCGGCTCCACTTTGACCAAGCTGCAGATTTTTGGCCGCCATTGCGGGGCCCTSAKGCRAGAGAAGATTACAAGGCCCTCTCCTGCGAGTYTGAGTGCACCCCTCTTGTATCTGAGCGACTCAAACTTCCTTCTTCTGTCCTTCTKACTCTAAGTCTRGTCCTGATCTGAGGGGAAGGCGGCAGGCGGGATTGCAACCCGTAGGTCCGCGTCAAGACTCTGTGGGGAGTCCACCCACCGATTGCGGGAGCTCTGCCGGAACTCAGGAGGAGTTCTGGAGGCAGGGAATCGTCAGGTAAACAATTTTCATTTGTACAACCTGCTACCACCCATGTTTGTTTATCCCCCTGCAGTATGACTATTGTATGCATGAGGTTGTCCTTATGGTTTTTGCTTTCTCTTCAGGACCTAATCAGACTGAATAGAAGGAACGTGTGAGAGTGAAGCCTAAGTTTCTTCTTTATTTTGGTTGAAAGCAGACAAAGGGATAAAACTGGGGGAAAGATGGGAGGAAGGTAGTCTTGCATGCGTTTGGAAAGGTCAACCAAAGCCTGAGTATTGTTTCCATGGTGAATGGCTCAGGGCTTTGTTTATTTGAGTGTTCTCTAAAGGACCAGACATTATTTCCAAGGTAAATGACCTGGTTGCTGTGTTTATTTAGTTATTTTCTGGAGAACCAGACTTTGTTTCCATGGTGAATGGCTTGGCTGCTCTAGCTAACTCTGGGGGTTTGCCTGATTGAAGGAGTTTAAGTTATTGTTTATTCTGAGGGAGGATTTCTGGTCTAAGGCTAAGCATTGTTTCCATGGGGAATGGTTTAGCCTAAAAACCACGCACATAAGTTAAATTGAGTATAAAGGGAAAATACTTTATATATATTTGCATGTGAACTGGCAGCTGGGCATTGTTTCCATGGTGAATGGTCTAGCGTTAAGCCATATCATCAAGAAGAGAAAGGGAAAATTTCGGAGTATAAATGAAAATAGTATGGGCAAGCTGAACATTTGTTTCCATGGTGAATGGTTCAGTCCCCTGCCCATATTTGCTTTTCTTTTTGAAAACAAAGTTAGAGAAATACTAAATTTTGGATATTAAACGGCTCAGGGCGGCTAGGCATTGTTTCCATGGCGAATGGCCTAGTCATATGCCCAAGAGAAGAGAGGAGTAGTTATGCAACCTGTTCGTGTATATCTTAAAGGCAAGCTGGACATTGTTTCCATGGCGAATGGTCCAACTCTATGTCTTATGTGAGAGGGAAATAAGGGTTCAAGGACTTAAAAGATTCATAAACTATCTATATGGAATGAACTTGGGATGGTGAGAGTACTTACATTCGTGGTTTGGTTTGCATGTGACTGAGTGAGATGGATAGTTTGTCTGAGTTTCAGATTGATAGGTAGTTGCTTTAGTTGCTCGCCATGTGCTAGAGCCATAGGAGTTAGTGTCAATTCCTGCATTTTCTGTAACAACTTTTTATACTTAGATCAATTCTTGCATTTTCTGAGTTTTTTTCTTATATTTGGCTTTGTATAAATCTTGGCAAGCTACTTTCTCTACGGGAAGCGCTGCCGAAATTTCTACAAATCCAAGGAGTAAGTCGAATTTTGACTTGTCAAAAGTCCAGCTTCGTCTTTTCTCTTATCTGACTTAGTTAAAATATGGGAAGTCTCCTTTTCTAAACGGAGTGCTGCCCAAATTTTTGCTAATTCAGGGAGTTAGACAAGATTGAACTTTGGGAAGTCAAAGTTACTTTCAGATTCTGGACCTAGCCTTGTATAAATTTCGGAATAACACTTTTCTAGAGGGAGTGCTGTCGAAATTTCTGCAAAGCTAAGGAGTTAGTTAAATCTTGTCTAAATTGAACTCAGGTTGTCTTCTGAGTTCATATCTGACTTAGTATAAATCCGGGAAGTCTCCCTTTCTAAAGGGAATGCTGCCCAAATTTCTACCAATTCAGGGAGTTAGACAAATTTTGACTTTTCAGAGTTAGAGATTATTTCTCCTTTCATATATGGACTTATATAAATTCTGGAAAGACACTTTTCCTACGGGAAGCGCTGCCGAAATTTTCCTGGTTTAGAGGAGTTAGATTATATTTTGACAGGTGGCAATTCTGGCGATCCACCCTGAATAGGGGAAATCCTGCCATTAGTCTACCTTTGCTTTGGACACTGCTTAAAGGTAGATTCAGGCTTAGTCGACTAGAAGGATCTTGGGTGAGAATGTGTTATGGGGTTGTACCCTCCATATACTTATGATTTTAGACTGGGGATTGGCCTGTCTTGTGTTACAGGTCTTCTCGGTCGATTGGTTCAGGATTTGGGCTAGTTTCAACTTGATCCTACGAGGATCATCTTCTGTTATCAGTGATAACGGGTCGGTTGTCGATTCGTCGGTTTACGATTCGACTCCAATTCACTCCTGCCACTCAACCTAAAGTCTTTAGCCTTGTGATTGAACTGTTTTGTTGTATTTTCACCCGGACTTTATTGAATGGTCATCCAACAAAAGTACTGAGTATTTATTTAAGAGTTGCACGAGTGAGGCTTGTATGGCTAAAGCGAGGGATATGAGTGCAAGGAATGGTTGAAGTTGACCCCATGTAGTGTGTGGGCTTCTGGATGAATCTTTGATGTGATTGCAGGTGCGTTTGTGGTTCAGACTCTGGATGTGATTGCCTGCGATTACATACTTATATGGCTGAGAGGAGCCCCACTGTGACTGTAAGAAGTGATCGTCCTATATAATCAACCCTTATATATTTACGAATACCCTGAGTATTTGAGAGGCCCTACTGTAATTGTGCGTAAGGGTTAGCCAGATTACGTCTCTGAGAGAAAAGGGGGATCCCCTTTTATCCTTTGCTTGTTGAAGATTTTTATGGTTGGACGCTGTAGTCTGTGGCAGCCGTCAAAGTCAAAACCCTTGACTTCCGCCCAGGCACGAAGTGGGACTCATCTCCGGGGCAGTAAGAGGCGACTGCCACCACAGGTAGGGACCTGTGTACCACCCGCTCTGCATAAGGTGCAGAAGAGGGTGTGTGGTCTTCAACCACGCATGACGGTTGTCCAGCGTCGAGAGATTAACCCTCAAGGCGCGTGTCAACCGACACTTGAGTGTCGAAAGCGACCCTCGAGATAAACGAGGACCGCATGAGTATGGGTACTACATGGTATGCCATTATTGCGACTGGTTGCGTGCGCTTGCATCCCGAATCGATATGAGTTGGCCCTGCGTCCGCGCGGTTTTATACTAAGTCTCGTGCGAGACGCCTTTCCGATTCACGCGTCGGAAAGTTATGGGACGGCTACCGAGGGGCTAGGACTGTTGTCGCGTTACTTGGGTCGTGTCGTTTCGTGTGTGTGTGTGTGTGTGTTTTATAATTTTGTGTTCGTAATGTGGTGTGCGCGTGGTGTGTGGGATGCGTCCTAGTCAACCGACGACGAGCCGCGCTTGGGACTTCAGCCCCCCATGATGCTGGTTCGCGTCCGGGTCCGATAGAGGTGTATTACCGTGCGTATCCCCTATGCTACAGTGGACGAGAAACGTCGTCGGCTGGTTCACCTCTGCGATTGCAACTGATTAGCTTTTGTACTGTGGACTGGTAACTCGGCGGGGATACGCCCACCGAAGGGAGGTGACAGCTCCCGTAAGGTGGAGGTAAGGTGTGCCTCGCGTAGGCCCTATCCTGTCGTAGGGGCTCGCGAGAGGTATGGCTGGCGCACTCGGCCGGAGCGGCTTGCGGAAGTTCCATGTATATTTGCGACGAAGGATCTAAACCAACTCCTGCGTGACGCGGCCGGGAGGGTCCCGCGCTGCCCACGTGAGGTGCCGGACCGATGCGCTCGACAGATCCGCAATGTGATGAAAAGGACTGAATGGACAATGCAATGTCAATGAAACATCAACAAGCAATGTGCATCCCGATACATACAAAATGGCACAAAGTAGCATAGTGGAAGACTCAAAGATAAGTCCTAACCTGACCGGGACTGACGCGACATCCCATCATACACCACACAAGTGAGAGGAAGAGGAGGCACCACACACATAGAAGAAAGGTCCTCCTTGATACACACACATGGGGGAGATACCATGGATGAGAGATGGGGGGAGAGGTGAGACGAAGATGGAGGCGAGGGAGAAGATCAAGATTGCGATAGCGAAGTCCAAAAATAGTCCCTTGCCTAATGTTCAATCAATATCTGCCTCAAAAATGTCGGATCAAATCCTGGGCGCTATGCCCATAGTAACCTCTGCCTGTAACCTCTCTCTCTCTCTCTCATATCTGATGAAGAAGAAGAAGAAGAAGAAGAAGAGGGAGAGGAAGGAAGAAGGAGGGAGGAGGAGGAAGAGAGGGAGACCGATGAAGAAGAAGATGTCGTCTCCCTCGGTGCCTCACTTGCAGGTGCTACCGCCGAACTGACCGTCGTTCTGTGTCGTCGTGTGCAGGTCACGAGTGCACGGGGAGTCCCAGCTATGGCGCCAGGTAAGTCCCCTTCATCGCAGGTATGGCCTCCGCCCCTCTGCCTCCTGATGGTCAGCCCCTATCTCCGTAGCACAGTGCTGAACCAGCAACGTGTCGCTCAAGAAGTGAGCTACTCGAATTGAGCTCTGGCCAGCCTCAGCCCAGCTATAAGTAGCACTGGGCCTGCTGGGCGCACCTCAGGTACAAGGCTTAAAACGGCCTACTAGGTCTGGGCCCCTACCGGTTATCCAAACCAAGCTGCTGCTGCAGCGAGGTGCCAAAACGCGCCTGGCCTGAAAACAGCCTTGTCCCTGTGTCCCTAGCCCAAGGCGTCGCCTTGGGGCCTGCAAGTCCGAAACGATGTCTGCACAAACAAAAATATGGCAGCAAGTAAGTAAATAAATAAATGCCGCCTTAAGAAGAAACCTGCAGGGTGTCCGATGGGCACGCGGCCTGGGGCCCCCTTAACTGGGGCCCGTGTGCAGGCGCAGCATGTAACACATTCTCTTTGCCTACTTCTATCTCACACAGGCCTCGCTTGGTCCTCTCTCTCTCTCTCTCTCTCTCTCTCTCTCTCTCTCTCTCTCTCTCTCTCTCTCTCTCTC